CTCTGGATGGTCCCTCTTTTGCCATCATTTAAAAAAGAGACTGCGAGGATATGTTAAAGTATTACGTCTCTAAACACGTGTTCACCCTCGGTCTCCATAGTCCAAAACATGGGCAAAGTGCCCACAAGGGCCCCTTAATACTGGTACTCTCTACCAGAGCCACAGATCCATTTTTTCCTAAAACTCACAAAAAAATATAAATAAATGAAAAATAAAAATAAATACTTGGCTATTTTTATGATAATTTTTTTTGCAATCTCCCACAAGAATTTTTGTTTTGAAATAAATTTTCACCATCAGCTGGCTTTCTATATGTAACATGCAACCTGCCATGTTTATATACATTTGAATAAATTAAAACTTACTTGTAGATACATTTTAATTAAGCAGATATGCAAATCACATACATGCAAATCTAACTATCAGTACAATTAATGGTTCACTACACATATCTCCGTCAGTATTCTACAATTTTTGGAGAATTCGAAATATATATAGGCCCTACTGACCGCATTTTTCACTGTCTACAGGTACGTGAAGTCCTGCTGTCAATGATATCATCAATTTAATAGAAATCTTGAAGATCATGTAAGAGCTGTAATGCGCCATAATCATTTTTAGTATGTGTTTAGTCCGTGTTCTTCACTTCAATATTTCCCTTGAATTTCTCAGAATAACCAGATATTTAAGGGGTTCGTTCGGAAGTGCTTTTGTAGGCATGTTTTCATGGGCGCTGAACCACCCTGGTGTACGAGAATCTACGAGATCCAACGTCGTCATGGTAATAAAAATAAAACAGATTCTAAATTCAGCATGTTGACGCCGTTACCTAGTAGCTGCCAAACAGTCTCAATGTGTACGTGTTAAAATGGAGCAACTGAGCTGTCATTACATCTATGTATAGAGTGTCTGGACATTTTGACGTGCATCGAACCATTTCAAATTGCAATATCCTGTGTAAGATGTGCTGACTGCTTGGTGGGTGACGCCATAGATAGGCCAAAATCTCCTCAGTCCTATTGTTTTACCCGTGGTAGTTGTCACCAGTAGGAGGAGAAATGGGTATGATTTATGGCGATATCACGACGCACACGCCGTGAAGATAAATAGCGACAGTCGGGTGGTGGAGATGTTCCTCAGGGGAGTCTACCGGAACACTGGAGCAAGACAGAGAGGTTGATGGAATCGGTATGCTATAAAAGTGTACATTTGGTCAAATAGTCTTTTCCCGTTTCTAATATGTGAAATACTTAACTTAATATTAGTAAAATAAAAATAAACACTTTAAAAGCACTAAACCTCTTTCTGTTGCTTCATTCACAATATCACTGGATTTTTCAGATGGGCTGGCCAAGCATTAATCGTCAATTTCGCTACGGTTCCCGACGTACATGTAACTATGTACAGGTAAGTAAGTAAGATATCATCATGCTTATTTGTGGTTGACTCTAATACGTTCCCAGCGTTCATGTAATATGGTTCGTGTTTTTTTGCGTGGAAGATATGAGCCCCTAATTACGATGGCCTTTAAACAAAGGTATCATTTCACCTCTTTACTGAGCAAGTCAAAAGTAAGCATTTCAAGAAAATCTCTTTGCACCGATTTGTATACTTACTTTTGTGAAAAAATAGGCGTTAAAATGGTATTGGTAGCTGTTAAGATGAAGGAGACCTATTTGAAGTACTACATTCTCACCCCCCCCCCCCCAAACGCTGCTAATACGTCATCAGCTCGAATGTACAGATTCATCGCAATGAATACTTGATGCGACGGCATTACTGGTACCTCAAAGCACAATATCTTATTCCGCATTATGTATCGAAAAATGAGGAGGGAAAATCAATACGTGTCGAGTCTTCCGTTAGTGGGTAGAACGTAGCCCAAAAGGTAATACGTATAAATAAATAAGATAAACTTGATTACTGACGTGTATACATTGAATGTCCCCGCACTTCCTAGTATTGCAAAGAGCACCTTGATCGTCCTCAGTGAACCCCTTCTCATGATACGTATGGCAATTATGGATCCAATGTGTAAAGTCATTGCAAATAGTATTCATAATAACAGCATAAAAATCGATAAAATGTTACACTACCTGTAAAATCCCTAAATCCCAAAAGGTGTTCATATTTAAAAACAGCTCTCACACCTAGCACAATATATTCAGTCTATAAAACAACTGTCACACCTAGCACAATTCAGACTACAAATTAAATGCTACACTTTGAACAACCCTTCCTTTAGCAACTGTCATGAGGTGGGTGTCACCCCGTTGACCTAGATATCAACCAGCTGGCCAATGAGGTCTGGTCGATCTACAGTGACAGTGAAATGAAAGAGCTGGTATTTTGAGAATCATTCTGTGTCGCCACAGTTTCGGTGGCAAGTAATGGGCTTAAAATACATTGGATAGAATATATCCTTGGCCATTACAGTAGTTAATGAGGTCTCTCTAAATGTAAAATCGCCAATAGACCAAGCCTGATTGAACAAGTTCATAATCAACAGAACCGTAAATAATGATAATTATTACAATGAACAACAAAATAAAAACGTTAAATATAATTATATAAACGTCCACTAACATATCCACACAATGTCACGCGCGCGCGCCATGTGACCTGTCTAAATTTTTAAAACAAGCACTGTTTGTACTGATGGTAATGTCTAGTCTAAACTGAATGCACATTTGTGTAGATGTGTTTGATCTTAACAGGTGCTGTAACAAGGGCGCCATTTACACAAACTCCTTAACCGCGTGTGTGTTGAATGACAAGACCGAAACTTAGGATATTGTTAAACCGAACACGTGATAGGTTTTAAATACTGACTTGTTCAACAGCGCCACCGCTAATTCCAACAGGAGCTTTACAGTTTTGTGCCGCCGGTAGTCTACATTTACAGTCATCTCTTTTGTTCTGCAGACATTCATGATTAAGTCACTGGCTGCACTTTGACGTTGATGAAGTACATGTTTCTGTATACAAACGTTCAGGTATTTTTATCTACCCGCTGATTACAGGGGTCTATAAAATGATATACAAAATTTAAGTTTAGGTGCTACAATAAAATGTGTAAGAGACTATATCTACTAGAGCACCCTGTGTCCAGAAATATCCATGGCTCCACTACACATTCACAACGTGTGGTTGTTGTATTTTGGTTATGCTCTGATGTCAGTCCGAGTAATGNAGCCATAAAAAGAATCAATTGGGTAATTCATAATGAGGTCTTCACAGCGCGAGTTAGAATTAGGAAAACGGCTTAACGGTTTAAGTCATTTATAAACAGCCTGGGTTACATTCACATACATGTAAGATTAGATGTTGATATAAAGATTTATTGGTTTGCACACTTGTACACCCTTGGGCCAGATACTTTAGTAGCATCATTAAATAATGTCCTTGATTTAATTGTTGCGCCATAAAAAAACATTGAGCATGCAATCACAACACAAACATTACGTGCTGTATGTGAAACATCCATTGCCAAGGGATATAGACTATGCTCTTTCTTTCAAGTTGATAATGTTCCAGGTTTTATTTTTCTCTTTCGGAAAATGTGAGATCTGTTTCAATGTTGTTTCTGTGAATCATTGCTACTTCTTAAATTTCAATATCTGAACCTGGCCTAATACAGACTACACTGTAAAAAACTCATGTAAATACCAGTACATGTACTTACTGAAACAATAAAACCCTTGTATTGATAATTAAAAATAAAATTTCAAATCAGTTTTCATTACTTTGTTGCTTTTGAGATAAGTAAAGAACAAAATCCAAAGTTATCAATATTTGAAGAAGAAAGGAAGAACTAGTGGCCAATCCCAAGTTTACGTTTATCTTCATGTATGAGGTACCTGTACTGTATATCGATTCCTCGATTTTAAAGTAATTTTCATTACTTTGTTTTTTAAAGTTTGGTTAAACATTGGTTAAATAAGAAATAATTGAAATTCTGTCAAAGGCATTTACTAAAATACTGTAGCGCTGTCTCCCTTTAATACGAATCTGGCTTCCTGCACTTATGGGAAGCAACGGGCACGGTGTCTTAACTCGGCCCTCAAGAAAAGCTGGATCACCACGGTCTAGGCTCGGCTGTCTCGGCTGCATCGATTGGACATCCGGCTGGTCGGCTGTCTCGGCTGTTTCGGTTGTCTCCCAGGCTGGGCGGTCATCTCGGCTGAAGGCTCGTCGTCTCAGCTGGAGACCCGACTGGAAAGCAAATATCTCTATTGCAGTGACCGCATTTATAACTCGGTTAAGCCTCATTGGCGTATTACCATGTATACCATGCAGAGAATCCTCCAGTAACTACAGAGCTTCGCTGCTAAGAGGGGTAGTGAGGGTGACGCTGGTAGCATGTGACTGCTGCATTCTGCTTTTGCACCCCCTTTTATACGGGTGTGTGCCATGTTCGATTATGAGTAAAATTAAGGCATTCTTCAGTTCGCAAGCTACTAAAATTAAGCCGGCCAGCAAATGGTGTCCTTATCAGCACGATTGTCATCACGATATAACTGAAGGATGATTCAAATTAATTAAAATAACTGTTAATTGTCCTCCAATTAAAGTAAATGAGTCATTTTAGTTACATTACGTAACTTCATGTAATCGAGTGGTATCGGTGGCGAGTTTTTCCATTTTAACAAATCTCAGCAGGTACTGGGTCTAAAAGTTCGTCAATCGTTACAATACCATCCATATTTACTTTACTGACTTAAATGCATCATACTGCTGTATATTGAAGGATAGGTTATAAAACTCGTAAAATCTTAGAAACCTCAGAGATATATGTCTATAAACTAATATCCTCCCATTGATTTTCCGTAAAATGTATAATGAGCCTTGATCCCATGTAATAGGCGTCTTCACAGATGAGAGGTCAAAATGTTGTAAGAACAGACAACATGCATTCACTTACAGATAAGAGGTCAAAATGTTGTAAGAATAGACAACATTCAGCAGACAAAGTACAAATCCTGATCTGGCCCACAATGAACCTGGCGGACAGTTAAGACGTGGCCAGATTTCTGAACAGTCTGTAAGACTTTATATAAACCTTCCGTCAGTTAAACGCGTTAACACTCACGTAAGAAACAGCAATAATGATGTTACGTGTGTTTCTCTATTTGAGTTCTGTTGGACTTGTCTTTTCGTCTACATCTTTCAGTCCACTCCACTGTTATGACTGCAACTTTAAAACTTTCACAGACGGTAAGTGATCGTTTACTTCTTTTATATTTTTAATGAAGAAGCATGTGTCATCTCGTTAATGAGCAAAAATGTGCACTGGCTTGGTAGTTGGATCATAAATGACAATTATCAAACACAAGCTGAAAGACTCATAACGTTTGCTTACGGCCAACCTGGGCGCCGCATTTCGAAAGCATCGCGAATAGTGACCGAACGCAAGCGTCTGTATTCCATAACTCGGGATTTACTCGCCCCATTTAATAGCCTCGAAATAAAAGGTGACATCGCCATTCGCAATTCGTGATGCTTTCGAATTACGGAGCCCTGGACGTAGTCCTTCTTCAGACTGATGTCCAGATTGACCGCAAGGTAATTGTACATGTATGGATTTTTTCGGCTTGTGTTAGATAATTTTTATCATTGAAATAACATATCATTTTATCCATTTGTTCATTTTTCATTCCTTGCACTTTTCGCAATAATTCCAATGTATAACTACAAAATATACCTTATATTTGGTTTCCGCCTATAGGCGATGTGTATTTATTCATTAATAATCATTTGATATTGGGAAATTTATATCGGCAAATGATATATATACACTCGCGCACACAAGTCGCCTTGTGGTATTACATTATTACTCAAACGCTATATATATATATATATATATATATATATATATATATATATATATATATATATATATATATATATTCTCTTTGTTTTGTTGAAAGGTTATGGACTCAAGGCCACTCACCAAGCCTGCGTTGAACCAGAAAAAGATGGCCACCTCCTGGCAAAAGTAAAGTGTGACACTGCGTGTTTTAACAGACTTGACGAGAACGGCTGTAAGTATAGGGATCTCTGCACCATTCATTAAGATGAAATAACGAAACCTTAACAGGTTGTCTAAACCAATATTATGAAAAGGTGAAAGCAAGCCCAATCGCATATGTTTCGTCTTCGTGCATGTGTAAAAGAGAGAGATGCCTATCATATGAAGCTTTGACCATATCCTCAAATATTTCAGTCATCTACAGAGGATGTTACGCCGGGAATTTCGGCGTGGACTCCAGCCAAGACGGTTGCAGTTTTCAAGCTGGGGCCACGTGGTGTTTTTGCAGTGTGTATCTCTGCAACACAGGACTGAATTTCACACTGCTGCCGTGACCGTACCGTAACCGTGGATTTAAACAGATGGAACGTTTCTGAAATTTTCAGGATTGCATATTTGAATAAATTCCGCAATCTTGTAAACTTATATAAATTAAATGACAGATAATTAAATAACAAGTTTCGTTTTATTTAAATATTTTCCCCTTTTTTTCGAATTGTATAAGGACTGTGTACTTTGAACAGTTAAACAATATAGCTGAGAACAAAAATATACACATAGTCAATGAACCTCATGTACACAAAACCCCTCAACTGAAATTATGATACTGTGGCAATGAATAACCCAAATTTTTCTTTCGGTGTATTAAACTCTCCTATGAAATAAGCCCTTTTATAGAAGGAAAAAAGAGGTTTATGACTTAGGTGAAATTAAAATCGACATCTCTCATGTCTGGTTGTGAATATCGAGAGTGAATTAATAATAATAATAATAGTAATAATAATAATGGTCATGATGGTGATAATAATACCCTTTCTTTAGACGCAATTCCCAGATATATTTATTAGATTAGTATTTGTAAAGTAAATTCCAAGTTAAAGAAAGAGAGAATTTTCATTAACATTTTGTTTCTTTACACAAAGGTCCGTTTCGTCAATTACATAAAAGGATCGAAATCTCAGTTGTGAAATTTCCGTAAACTTTTTATATGATTACTAAACCTATGAATGTGCGCTGTAAGCAAATACCTTTAATAAGAACTCGAAATATCGAAAGGAGAAAAGAGGAGCAGAATCACGTGTTGAACATTTGTGCCAAGTTAGACATAAGTACTACAAAATGCAGCGTTTGGCCAATTTTTGGTCCTTAACAAGCCTACCAGCAATTCATTTAATAGGCATGTGCACATACGATTTATGCAGACAGGAAAACACACACACACACACACACACACACACAAAAAAAAAAAAAAAAACAAAAAAAAAAAAAAAAAAAAAAAAAAAAAAAAACGTCACAGACGTCGCTAAGACCGACCCCTCCTAATAGGTAAAAGTAACAATGTTATGAATAATCTTAAGGCCATGATACGAATTCGCTGGATAATTCATAATGAACTCTTTAAGGCATTAATAAACAATCCGCGTTGCATTCACGTAAGATTAGATGTTGATATGAAGATTTATTGGTTTGCACACTTGTACACCCTTGGGCCAGATACTTCAGTAGCATCATTAAATAATGTCGTTGATTAAATTGTTGCGCCATAAAAACATATTGAGCGTGCAATCACAACACAAACATTACGTGCTTTATGTGACACAGCCATTGCCAAGGGATATAGACTGTGCTCTTTCTTTCAAGTTGATAATGTTCCAGGTTTTGTTTTTCTCTTTCGGAAAATGTAAGATCTGTTTCAATATTGTTTCTGTGAATCTTTGCTACTTCTTAAATTTCAATATCTGAACCTGGCCCAGTACAGAGTACACTGTAAAAAAAAGAAAAATCCATGTAAATACATATAGTTACCGAAACAATTAAACCCTTGTATTGATAATTTAAAATAAAATTTCAAATCAGTTTTCATTACTTTGTTGCTTTTGAGATAAGTGTAGAACAAAATCCAAAGTAATCACTATTTGAACAAGAAAGGAAGAAATAGCGCCCATTTCCAAGTTTACGTTTATCTTCATGTATAAGGTATATATACTCCTTACTTTAAAAGTAATTATGACATTGGTTGAATAAGAAATAATTGAAATTCTGTCAAAGGCATTTACTAAAATATTGTAGCGTTCTCTCCCTTTCATACGAATCCGACTCTCTGCACTTATGGTAAGCAACAGGCACGGTGTCTTAACTCGGCCCTCAAGAAAAGCTGGATCACCACGGTCTAGGCTCGGCTGTTTCGGCTGCATCTAATGGACACCCGGCTGGTCGGCTGTCTCCTTTGTCTCGGCTGTCTCGGCTGTCTCCCAGGCTGGGCGGTCGTCTCGTCTGGAGACCCGGCTGGAAAGCAAAATCCCTCTATTGCAGTGACCGCATACCTCGGTTAAAAGCCTTATTGGCGTGTCACCATGTATACCATGCAGAGAATCCTCCAGTAACCACAGAGCTTCGCTGCTAAGAGGCTTAGTAAGGGTGACGCTGGTAGCATCTGAGTGCTGCATTCTGCTTTTGCACCCCCTTTTATACGGGTGTGTGCCATGTTCGATTTTGAGTAAAATTAAGGCATTCTTCAGTTCGCAAGTTACTAAAATTCAGCCGGCCAGCAAATGGTGTTCTTATCAGCACGATTGTCAGCACGATATAACTGAAAGATTATTTAAATTAATTAAAATAACTGTTAATTGTCCTCCAAGTAAAGTTAATTAGTCATTTTAGTTACATTACGTAACTTCATGTAATCGAATTTTTTTCCATTTTAACAAATCTCAGCAGGTACTGGGTCTAAAAGTACGTCAATCGTTACAATACCATCCATATTTACTTTACTCATTTAAATGCATCATACTACAGTATACTGAAGGATAGGTTATAAAACTCGTAAAATCTTAGAAACCTCAGAGATATATGTCTATCAACTAATATCCTCCCATTGATTTTCCATAAAATTTATAATGAGCCTTGATCCCATGTAATAGGCGTCTTCACAGATAAAAGGTCAAAATGTTGTAAGAATAGACAACATTCAGCAGACAAAGTACAAATCCTAATCTGGCCCACAATGAACCTGGCGGACAGTTAAGACGTGGCCAGATTTATGAACAGTCTGTAAGAATATAATATATAAACCTTCCGTCAGTTAAACGCGTTAACACTAACGTAAGAGACAATGATGTTACGTGTGTTTCTGTATTTGAGTTCTGTTGGACTTGTCTTTTCGTCTCCATCTTTAGGTTCACTCCACTGTTATGACTGCAACTTTAAAACTTTCACAGACGGTAAGTGATCGTTTACTTCTTTTATATTTTTAATGAAGAAGCATGTGTCATCTCGTTAATGAGCAAAAATGTGCACTGGCTTGGTAGTTGGATCATAAATGACAATTATCAAACACAAGCTGAAAGACTCATAACGTTTGCTTACGGCCAACCTGGGCGCCGCATTTCGAAAGCATCGCGAATAGTGACCGAACGCAAGCGTCTGTATTCCATAACTCGGGATTTACTCGCCCCATTTAATAGCCTCGAAATAAAAGGTGACATCGCCATTTGCAATTCGTGATGCTTTCGAGTTACGGAACCCTGGACGTAGTCCTTCTTCAGACTGATGTCCAGATTGACCGCAAGGTTATTGTATGGAATTTTTCGGCTTGTGTTAGATAATTTTTATTATTGAAATAACATCTCATTTTATCCATTTGTTCATTTTTCATTCCTTTCACTTTTCGCATTAATTCCAATGTATTACTACAAAATATACCTTATATTTGGTTTCCGCCTATAGGCGATGTGTATTTATTCATTAATAATCATTTGATATTGGGAAATTTATATCGGCAATGATATATGTATAAACTCGCGCACACAAGTCGCTTTGTGGTATTACATTATTACTCAAACGCTATAAATATATATATTCTCTTTGTTTTGTTGAAAGGTTATGGACTCAAGGCCACTCACCAAGCCTGCGTTGAACCAGAAAAAGATGGCCACCTCCTGGCAAAAGTAAAGTGTGACACTGCTTGTTTTAACAGACTTGACGAGAACGGCTGTAAGTATAGGGATCTTTGCATCAATCATTTAGATAAAATAACGAAACTTTAACAGTTTGACTAAACCAAGGTTATGAAAAGGTAAAAGCAAGCCCTACCCGTATATGTTTCGTCTTTATGCATGTGTAAAAGAGAGAGATGCCTATCATATGAAGATTTGACCACATCCTCCAATATTTCAGTCGTCTACAGAGGCTGTTACGCCGGGAACTTTGGCGTGGACTCCAGCCAAGACGGTTGCAGTTTTCAAGCTGGGGCCACGTGGTGTTTTTGCCGTGTGTATCTCTGCAACACAGGACTGAATTTCACACTGCTGCCGTGACTGTACCGTAACCCTGGATTTAAACAGAAGAAACGTTTTGGAAATTTTCCGGATTGCATATTTGAATAAAATCCGCAATCCTGTGAACTTATAAACTTGAAAACTGCTGAAAACTGTTCGAAATTTATTAAAACGTAAAACAATATGGTCCGGGAGACCGTGACGCATGCAGATAAGCTGTTTAATACTACATGTAACACGGACATGTATATGTGAGACAAAATCTCAAGATGTATATCAACTGACTACTTTTCTCAATTCAAAATTTACGCTTCTGCTTGCATATGTTTGATTTCCAAAAGTAAAGAAAATAAATGACTGATAAAATGACACGTTTTGCTTTGTTTAAATATTTTCCCCTTTTTTTCGAATAGTATAGGGACTGTGCTTAGACGACGACTGGTACTTCAGTTAAACGATATAGCTGAGAACAAAAATATACATAACGTCAATGAACCTCATGTACACAAAACCCCTCACGACTGAAATTATAATATTGTGGCAAAGAATAACCCAAATTTTTCTTTCGGTGCATTAAACTCTCCTATGAAATAAGCTTTTGCATAAAAGGAAAAACGAGTACATGACTTAGGTGAAATTAAAATCGACATGTCTCATGTCTGGATGTGAATATCGAGAGTGAATTAATAATAATAATAATAATAATAATAATAATAATGGTCATGATGATGATGATAAACTTATACCCTTTCTTTAGACGCAATTCCCAGATATATTTTATAGATTAGTCTTTGTTAAGTAAAATCCAAGTTAAAGAAAGAGAGAATTATCATTAACATTTTGTTTCTTTACATAAAGGTTCATTTTGTCATTTACATAAAAGGGTCGAAATTTCAGTTGTAAAATTTCCGTAACCTTTTTATATGATTACTAAACCTATGTATGTGCCCTGTAAACAAAGACCTTTAATAAGAACTCGAAATATCGAAAGGAGAAAAGAGGGGCAATATCACGTGTTGAACATTTGTGCCAAGTTAGACATTAGTACTACAAAATGCAGCGTTTGGCCAATTTTTGGTCCTTAACAAGCCTACCAGCAATTCATTTAATAGGCATGTGCAGACAGGAAAAAGAAAACCACACACACAAAAACGTCACAGATCGCCTAGACCGACCCCTCCTAATAAGTAAAAGTACCTGTAAGAATGTTATGAATAAACGTAAGGCCATGATACGAATTCGCTGGATAATTCATAATGAACTCTTTCAGGCATTTATAAACAGTCCGCGTTGCTTTCACGTGAGATTAGATGTTGGTATGAAGAATTATTGGTTTGCACAGTTGTACACCCTTGGGCCAGACACTTCAGTAGCATCATTAAATAATGTCCTTGATGTAATTGTTGCGCCATAAAAAACATTGTGCATGCAATCACAACACAAACATACCGTGCTTGATGTGACAAATTGCCATATTGACTATGGTCTCCCTCCCCAATGTTCAAGTTTTTATTTTTATTTTTTCGGGAAAATTGAGCTTTTTTCAATTTTGATTCTGTGAATTTTGCTACTTCTTAAATTTTACCATCTGAACCTGGTCCGATACAGAGTACATTGTAAAAAAACCCTGCAAATACAGTTATTGAAACAACATAATCCTTATATTTATACTTAAAAAATAAATCAGTTTTTATTACCTTGTTGCTTCTGAGATAAGTGATGAACAAAATCCAGAGTAATCAGTATTTTAAAAAGAAAGTAAGAAATAGCGCCCATTCCTTAGTTTACATCTGTCTATGGGGTATATCGAATTCTCACTTTTAAAGTAAATAAGACACTGGTTATCAGTATCGTAAACATCTTGTAAACCTCAGAGATATATGTCTATAAACTAATATCCTCCAATTTATTTAGCATAAAATGTATAATGAGCCTTGATCTTATGTAATAGGCGTCTTCACAGAAGAGAGGTCAACATGTTGTAAGTATAAACAACATCCACCAGACAAAGTACAAATCTTGATCTGGCCCACAGTTAACCTGACAGACAGTTAAGACGTGGCCAGATTTCTGAACAATTTGTAAGACTATAAAGAGTCTTGCATAAGTTAAATACTTTAACACCCACTTAAGAGACAGCTGCAATGATGTTACGTGTGTTTCTATATTTGAGTTCTGTTGGACTTGTCTTTACTTCTGCAGGTCACAGTCCACTCCACTGCTATGACTGCAACTTTAAAACTTTCATATACGGTACGTGATCGTTTTCTTCTTTTATATTAATGTATTAATGGATAAGCATATAACATCTAAATGAGCAAAAATGTGCATTGGCTTGGTAGTTGGATCATAAATGAAAATTATCAAACACAAGCCGAAAGACTTTCATACCGTTTGCTTACGGCCATCCTGGACGTAGTCTTTCATCAGCCTGATATCCAGCCAGGTTTGCCGTAAGGTAATGGTATTATTTTTTCAGCTTCTGTAAGATAATTTTTATTTATGAGATAACATCTCATTTATGCAGATGGATTTGTCTCTTCGTCTTTTGGTCACAGTCCACTGCACTGCTATGACTGCAACTTTAAAACTTTCGGATACGGTACGTGATCGAATTATTCTTTTATAATCGTGATGAATAAGCATATAACATATAAATGAGCAAAAAGGTACTTTAGCTTGGTAGTTGGATCATTAATGAAAATTATCAAACACAAGCCGAAAAACTTTCAAACGGTTTGCTTACGGCCAACCTGAACGTACATGTAGGCCTTCATCAGGGATGATTTTTTCGGCTTCTGTTTGATAATTTCATTTATGAAATAATATCTCATTCCTTCCGGTCGTTTATTTTTTCCTTTTTCCTTAATTCCGTTGCATGAACACAGCATACATTGTATTTGGTTTCCGCCTATAGACGGTGTGTATTTATTCATCAATAATCATTTTGGTGTTGGTAAATCTTTATCAGTAAATGATTTATACACGCGCGTGCGCACACACACACACACACACACACACACACACGCCGTCTAATATACGTATTACAACCAAGCCTCACTCAAATGCTGAGAATATTCCCATCCTTTGTTGAAAGGTAATGAACTCAAGGCCACTCACCAAGCCTGCGTTAACCCAGAAAAAAATGGCCACCTCCCATTCCTAAATTTACGTTTATATATGAGGTATATCAATTTCTCAATTTTAAAGTTATTAAGACATTGATTTTGATAAGAAATAATTAAAATTCTGCCAAAAGCATTTATTAAAATACCATCCATATTTATTTTACTGAATTAAATTAATCATACTACAATATATTGAAGGATAGGTTATAAATCTCGTAAAATCTTGTAAACCTCAGAAATATACAACTATAAACTAATATCCTACCTTTGATTTTACATTAAGTGTATAATGACCCCAGATCTTATGTAATAGGAGTCTTAACAGATGAGAGGTCAAAATGTTGTAAGTATAAACAACATCCACCAAACAAAGTACAAATCCTGATCTGGCAGACAGGTAAGACGTGGCCAGATTTTTGAACAGTTTGAAAGACTATATAAAACCCTTCCATCAGTTTAAAACACGTTAATACTCACGTAAGACACAGCCACAATGATGTTACGTGTGTTTTTATATTTGAGTTCTGTTGGATTTGTCTTTTCGTCTCAAGGTCACAGTCCACTCCACTGTTATGACTGCAACTTAAAAACTTTCAGATACGGTACGTGATCGTATGCTTCGTTTATAAGCAAATAACATATAAATTAACAAAAAGGTACATTAGCTTGGTAGTTGGATCATAAATGAAAATTATCAAATACAAGTCGAAAAAATTGAGAACGGTTTGCTTACGGCCAATCAGGATGTAGGCCTTCATCAGTTTGATGTCCAGGTTGGTCGTAAGGCAACGGTATGACTTTTTTTCTGTTTGATAATTTCATTTATGAAATAAAACCTCACTTCATCCAGTCATTATTTTTTCCTTTTCTTTAAGTTTATGCGTACATCCCATGGTATTAATACAGCACACATTATATTTGGTTTCCGTGTATTTATTCATGAATAATGATTTGGGTGTTAGTAAACTAATATCCTCCCATTGATTTAACATAAAATGTATTATGAGCCTTGATCCCATGTAATAGGCGTCTTCACAGATGAGAGGTCAAAATGCTGTAAGTATAAACAACATCCACCAACAGATAAGAGGTCAAAATGTTGTAAGAATAAACAACATCTACCAGACAAATACAAATCCTGATCTGGCTCACAATTAACCTGGTAGACAGTTAAGACGTGGTCAGATTTTTGAACAGTTGGTAAGACTATATAGAGCCTTGCATTAGTTAAAGACTTTAACACTCACGTAAGTGACAGCTACGATGATGTTAGGATTGTTTCTATATTTGAGTTTTGTTGGACTTGTCTCTTCATCTCGAGGTTTCAGTCCACTCCACTGTTATGACTGCAACTTTAAAACTTTTACATACGGTATGTGATCGTTTTCTTCTATTATATTCTTAATGAAGAAGCATGTGTAATCTCGTAAATGAGCAAAAATGTGCATTGGTTTGTTAGTTGGATCATAAATAAAAATTATTAAACACAAGCCAAAAAACTTTCATACCGTTTGCTTACAGCCAACCTGGTCGTAGTCCTTCATCAGACTGATGTCCAGGTTGGCCGTAAGGTAACGGTATGGAAGTGTTTGGCTTTTGTTAGGTAATTTTTATTTGTGAAATAGCATGTCATTTTATCCAGTCGTTTATATTTTATTTCTTTTTTTACATTAATTCCATTGCATTACTACAACATACATTGAATTTGGTTACCTGCTGTATTAATTCTTTAATAATCATTTGGTTTTGGTGAATTGACAACGTTAAATGATATATACACACGTGCACACACGTCGCTTTCTAATATTACATTATTACTCTAATGCTAAGAATATTCTCACCCTTTCTTTGAAAGGTAATGGACTAAAGGCCACTCACCCAGCCTGTGTTGATCCAGAAAAAGATGGCCACCTCCTGGCAAAAGTTCCGTGTGACACTGCGTGTTTTAACAGACTTGACGAAAATGGCTGTAAGTATAGGGATATCTGCATCAATCATTAAGATGAAATAACGAAACTTTAACAGTTTATTTAAACCAGTTTTATTAAAATCAAGCCCTACTCGTATACATATTTAGTCTTTGTGCATGTGTAGAAGAGAGAGATGCCTATCATATAAAGCTTTGACCATATCCTCAAAATTTTCAGTCGTCTACAGAGGCTGTTACACCGGGAACTTCGGTGTGGACTCCAGTCAAGACGGTTGCAGTTTTCAAGTTGGAGCCACGTGGTGTTTTTGCCGTATGTATCTCTGCAATACTGCACTGAATTTTACATTGCTGCCTTGACCGTACCGTAACCGTGGATTTAAAAGAGATTAAACGTTTTTGAAATTTTCAGGATGTTGTATTTGAATAAATTCCGCAATNAACATGTCATTTTATCCAGTCGTTTATATTTTATTTCTTTTTTTACATTAATTCCATTGCATTACTACAACATACATTGAATTTGGTTACCTGCTGTATTAATTCTTTAATAATCATTTGGTTTTGGTGAATTGACAACGTTAAATGATATATACACACGTGTACACACGTCGCCTTGTAATATTACATTATTACTCTAATGCTAAGAATATTCTCACCCTTTCTTTGAAAGGTAATGGACTAAAGGCCACTCACCCAGCCTGTGTTGATCCAGAAAAAAATGGCCACCTCCTGGCAAAAGTTCCGTGTGACACTGCGTGTTTTAACAGACTTGACGAGAATGGCTGTAAGTTTAGGGATATCTGCATCAATCATTAAGATGAAATAACGAAACTTTAACAGTTTATTTAAACCAGTTTTATTAAAATCAAGCCCTACTCGTATACATATTTAGTCTTTGTGCATGTGTAGAAGAGAGAGATGCCTATCATATAAAGCTTTGACCATATCCTCAAAATTTTCAGTCGTCTACAGAGGCTGTTACACCGGGAACTTCGGTGTGGACTCCAGTCAAGACGGTTGCAGTTTTCAAGTTGGAGCCACGTGGTGTTTTTGCCGTGTGTATCTCTGCAATACTGCACTGAATTTTACATTGCTGCCTTGACCGTACCGTAACCGTGGATTTAAAAGAGATTAAACGTTTTTGAAATTTTCAGGAAGTTGTATTTGAATAAATTCCGCAATCTTGTAAACTTATAAACTTGAAAACTGAAGAAAACTGTTGGAAACTCAAGAAAACAAATCAGTACACTGTCTGGGAGACCATAACGCATGCAGAAAAGCTGTTTAATACTAACACGGATATTTATATGAGAGACAAAATTTCAAGATGTATATCAACTAATTACTTTCTAAATTCAAAATTTACGCTTTTGCTTGCATATGTATGATTTCCAAAAGTTTATGAAATAAATGACACAACAAAAATGACACGTTTTGTTTTATTTAAATACTTAGTTAAATGTGATAGCTGAGAACAAAAATATACACAACGTCAATGAACCTCATGTACACAAACCCCCTCACGACTGAAATTATAATATTGTGGCAAAGAATAACCCAAATTTTTCTTTCGGTGCATTAAACTCTCCTATGAAATAAGCCCTTTTGTAAAAGGAAAAAAGAGGTTTATGACTTAGGTGAAATTAAAATCGACATCTCTCATGTCTGGATGTGAATATCGAGAGTGGATTAATAATAATAATTATAATAATAATGATGGTCATAATGATGATGATAACCTTTCTTTAGGCGCAATTCCAGATATATTTGATAGAATAGTCTTTGTAAAGTAAAATCAAAGTTAAAAAAGAGCGAATTTTCATTAACATTTTTATTTCTTTACACAAAGGTCATAAATTCATAGTTTCATAAATTACAATAAAGATTCGAAAACCTAGGGTCAATAAAAGTTGTAAAATTCTCTCTACTTGCTTACATGATTACTAAACCTATGTACGTGGGCTGTAAACATAGACCTTTAATAAGAATTTGAAACATCGAAAGGAGAAGAGAGAGGCAGTATTACGTGTTTGCCCCCCTCCCCCTCCCCAGATACATGTACTACAGAGATACTTTAGAGTTAATTGGAAATTATGTACATTCAAACTTTTTTTAATTTATAAGCTATGTATTAAAAAAATAATTTAAGAGGTCATTGTTGATGATCAGAAATGCATTGAAGTGGTAGTGAAAATAACAATATGCAAGGAACGCTGACCAAAATGTTGTGTGACTCCTGAATTCCGTAATATGTCTTGAATTTCACGTCGTTTGAAAACCCCATCTTAGCTTAGTGCAGTGCATATACATTTTGGTGATTAAGCCTAGAAACTTCTTGTTATAAAGGATCAAAATAGACAAACTTCCCCTTATTTATAAAAATAAAGATTCAAAAAATAGTAAATTCTAGTATTTCTATGAATTCTTAGTCGGGTCACCAGGATCCAATGCAACTGACATTTTATACATTTGATAACTTATTGCGAGTACAGTGACTAAACTCAAATATATGAGAGAACTATTATAATTAGGTATTTACCATATACCTTCTTTCGTGGTGATTACTAATATTTTGAATTATCTGAATTGGTCTGCTGTCTTATCAAATTTGATTGCGATATATGTGCCTGGGTCACACCCGTGATTGTGTGTATGGATAGAAGTGGTCTACGTAGACTGCACATTAACCATGAGTGCTTTTAAAATATTAATGTTAGTAAAATATTGATCGCCGGAAGGAATGTGGTTTCTAAAAAAAAAAAAAAAGACATTGTTTAATGCTTGAATTAAAAATGTGATTTTGTAAGATTATACAAATTATTAACAATTGTTCAAGCGGGAGGTTGCCACGTGACCTCTCCCAGGGGATTCCCTTGGTAAGATCATTATTCATAATCTCCAACAAGATCAAATCTGGGACAGAAAAGTGAGTGGAAGCTGGCTGTATTTGTACTTTTTTGTTTGGAATGTCACCAAACGTACATTTTACACGTGATCACTGACCTTTCAGCACTGTCAATTTATCTCAACTAAAGGTCAAAAATCAAATGAAGTTGCTCAGAGAGAAAAGCAAGTTCCGAAAATACAAAATAATTTTAAAACAGAATTGGATTAATGAAATTGCAAAAAAATCAAATAATAATACAACAATATTGCATCTTTGGGAGAAATACTCTTACGGTTTTACAGTTTTAATTCATGGTTAAAATTGCTTTTTGTTATAGAGATAGCTAAAATCTGACACAGCAGTATAAGTGGAAATTACAGTCAGCTCTTTAACAGATGTTTTGCATTTACCTTTTTCATTTGAGCAATGTATTTGATGGACATGTGCACATACGAATTATGCAGACAGGAAAAAAACAAACAAAAAACGTCACTGATTGCTTAGATCGACCACTCCTAATAGGTAAAAATAACAATGCTGTGAATACACTTTAGGCCATTATACGAATACGTTGGATAATTCATAATGAAGTCTTCACACCGCGAGTTAGAATTTAAAAAGCAGCTTGACGGTTTAAGACATTTATAAACAACCCGCGTTGCCATTACGTAAGATTAGATGTTGATATGAAGTTTTACTGGTTTGCACACTTGTACACCCTTGGGCCAGATACGACAGTAGCATTATTAAATAATGTGTTGCGCCGTAAAAACATTGAGCGTGCAATCACAACACAAACATTACGTCCTGTATGTGACACATTGCCAGGGGATATAGACCATGCTCTTTCTTTCCAGTCGATTATGTTCCATGTTTTATTTTTCTCTTTCGTGAAATTTGACATCAATTTTGTTTCTGTGAATCATTGCTACTTCTTAAATTTCAATATCTGAACCTTGCCCGATGTAGAGTACACATGTAGTTTTTGACACAATATAACCTTTATATTTATAATATAAAATTTCAAATGATCATTTATTACTTTGTTGCCCTTTGAGATAATTGATGAACGAGATCCAGAGTAATCAGTAAATAAAAAGGAAAGGAAGGAATAACACCCATTCCTACGTTTACGTCTTCACAGATGAGAGGTCAAATGTTGTAAGTATAAACAACATCCACCAGACAAAGTACAAATCCTCATCTGGCCCACAGTTAACCTGACAGACAGCTTAGACGTGGCCAGATTTCTGAACAGTTGGTAAGACTATATAGAGTCTTGCATAAGTTAAATACTTTAACACCCACTTAAGAGACAGCTGCAATGATGTTACGTGTGTTTCTATATTTGAGTTCTGTTGGATTTGTCTTTTCGTCTAAAGGTCACAGTCCACTCCACTGCTATGACTGCAACTTTAAAACTTTCAGATACGGTACGTGATCGTATTCTTCTTTTATAATCTTAAAGGGATAATAACTCTTCGTATGAAATCTGTATTTCACAATAAAAACATTGTGAGTGACTCATAAAAATATACTATATTCTGTTTTCCCACAAAAACGGCTGTTATAGCTATTATTCTGATATCTGAGCTTGTCTTTAGACCACGTGACCTCCATTGATGGCTATGCTCTGTTAAAATCTCTTAAGAGATTTTAACAAAAAAACAAACTTTTTAGAAAAAAAACAGGGACTAACTTTGAATGTAAAAATGGATTCATTAACCATTGGTAAGTATGGGAAAATTGTTGTTTACTCCAGGAAAATTCATTTTTTGGCCGAAACGAAGAGTTATTATCACTTTAATGAATAAGAATAAAACATATAAATGAGCAAAAAAGTACATTAGCTTGGTAGTTGGATCATAAATGAAATTAGAAAACACAAGCCGAAAAACTTTAGAATCGTTTGCTTACGGCCAACCTGGACATAGGCCTTCATCAGTTTGATGTCCAGGTTGGTCCTAAGGCACGGGATGACTTTTTTCTGTTTGATAATTTCATTGATGAAATAAAATCTCACTTCATCCAGTCATTAATTTTTTCCTTTTCTTTAAGTTTATGCGTAAATACCATTGTAATAATACAGCACACATTATATTTGGTTTCCGTGTACTTATTCATGAATAATGATTTAAGTGTTGGTAAACTAATATCCTCCCGTTGATTTAACATAAAATGTATTATGAACCTCGATCCCATGTAATAGGCATCTTCACAGATGAGAGGTCAAAATGTTGTCAGTATAAACAACATCCACCAAACAAAGTACAAATCCTCATCTGGCACACAATTAGCCTGGCAGGCAGTTAGGACGTGGCCAGAATTGTGAACAGTCTGTAAGACTATATAAAACCTTCCATCAGTTAAACTCGTTAATACTCACGTTAATCACAGTTAAAGTGATGTTACGTGTGTTTCTATATTTGAAATCTGTTGGGCTCGTCTTTTCGTCTCATGGTTTCAGTCCACTCCACTGCTATGATTACAACTTTAAAACTTTCAGATACGGTACGTGATCGTATGCTTCTGTTATAATC